GTGGTGACCCTCTCAGGACGGAACGCTCTGGGTGGTTCAGGGAAGGCCCTCACCGGTCCCCCAGAATCACATACCAGAACCGGAGCGTTTCATTCAGTTAAAATGCCTGCCGTTGCCACCATTCAGCAGTAGCTGCCTGTTTAGCTCAGTTGGTAGAGCATGGGACTCTTAATCCCAGGGTCGTGGGTTCGAGCCCCACAGTGGGCTGTTCTTTTGCCGGTCTTTTGAACCGGCGTGTTCACCCATTTTGTACCGCGCAGGAAAAAAGAACCCAGCCGAGAGTGAGAGGAGATGGGGCTGGATTGTCCGTTTTTCGGTCGGGAGTGTGGCAGGTTCAAAAATGAACCTCTGTCCGAACCAGGACTCGAACCTGGGACATTCTGTGTGTTAGACAGATATGATAACCATCTACATCATTCGGACATGGGGAGCAGACCATCATCTTGACTAATGATTGGAACGAATTTGTGCCCGTCGTGGGCCGGCGGGTTGGAGGGAGAACACGCACGAGGTGCCGGCCACCATAGGCCATGCAAGGAGGAGAAATGTGGGGGGGTGCCGAGAGGGGGAGAGAGAGAGAGAGAGAGAGGGAGACAGAGGGCAACAGGCATACACATGCGAATGGCGTAAGCTCAAGGATCGTGATTGGGCGAAGAGCCGCCGTCTAGGGCATGCCTGCAGACATACTTGGCTGCGAGGGAAGAAGGAGAGGGCGCACCGCAGCCGGGCTCACCTCGAGGCGGTGGCCCGAGGACCGTATCTTCTTTAGGTTTCCGCCTGCACGCGAAGGAACAAGTTCCTGGTTGAGAAGGAGACTGGGCGGATGGAGGATCAGGTAAGGAGCCCGGTGTCCGTGTCTCTCCTCGGGGCCGCGCACTCCCGAGATCCTCACCTGGAGGGAGCAACAGAGGCGCGGAAAAAGGGGCGAGTGGATGAGTCGGGTCCTGGGCCCTCGGTCGCGGGCGGGTGAGTGGCAAGACGATAAATTCCCAATCTCTTGGTCATCAGCCAAGAGACGGTTGAGTGGTGTAATGGTTATCACGGCAGACTCTGAATCTGTCAATCCGAGTTCGATTCTCGGCTCGACCTTCTGTTTTGCCCTGGGGCCCGCGTCGAGCCGAGACACGATCAAATTTCCAGCCATAATGTCGCCCCTCTCGGACGCGCCGCCGGAGCTTCATTTTCCGCTCACACACCTCCCCCACACCCGCCTCTCCGTCAATAATTTGGTCATTCCCCCCCGGGGATCAAACGGCGGGGAGATCCATCGCCTACCTCCCTCTCTGAAGGAAGGTGCCTTAGCATTGCCCCTCAGCGATGCGCTCCATGCCCCCTCGTTTCCTCTTTCCTTGCCCCACCTCTCAAAGGACACCCAGCACCTTGAGGGGGATGGTCGTTCTCCTTGCGGAGGCCCTGGCTTGCCGTTGCTCGGCCTCCGTGCGTCGCTCCCTCTGGAGCGCGGTGTGACTCAGTCCCTGGTGTACTCCCCCTCTAAAGACGCAGATCCCCCGCTTACCTTTCCTTTTGTTGTTGTGTCTCTCTCCGGGTGGTGGCCCTCTCTCGGGGGGGCGGAGTGCTCTGGATGGCTCAGAGGGAGACCATATCACATCGGGCCTCGAGAGTTTCGTGCCAGCACCGGAGCATTTCCACGGGAATATGAGTAGGAGGATTGTCCTTGCACTCAAGGCCCCATAGCTCAGTTGGTTAGAGCGTCGTGCTAATAACGCGAAGGTCGTCAGTTCGATCCTGGCTGGGGCCACATTGTTTTTGTCCCACACTACTCCTCCTGCTTTTCCCGCACACGCGCGCACAGGATGCGGGCGTTTCGCGCGTGCGTGTGTGTGTGTGTGTATGTGCTCAGAGAGAGGCTCAGGGAGGCACGCGTTCGGCCAGCATCTTGTCTGGGAGGGAGGGGCTTTTTCCCATCCATCATGCATTTGGCAAAAGGCCGAGACAAGCACCCACCCTGGGGCTCTCTCGCATGCTGTGAGGGGCCCGTCGCCACGCGCAGGTTTGTTCGCACGAGCAGAGTGGCCCCGCTGCAGGATGTTTGGGTAGGACCGCGGGGGATGGGGGGGGGGGCCGGGGGAGAGATCCACGCCCAAAACCGGGTCCCGCACTTAATGAAGAGGAACATGCACACACACACACACATAAGAGCCGAAAAAAGGGAAAGGAGGATGATGGGGGATATTTGTAGTTTGTATTGTGTTGAAAAGGTGTGTGGAGACACACAGGCACACTTCCTCTTTTTGGATAAGAAAGTGAAAGAGACTATATGCATGAGGACCGGGAAGAAGGAGCGAAGAGAGAGCGCGCGTATGTGCCCCGCCGCGCATTCAGATCTAGTTTCTGGAGAGGGGAGGATGGGCAGAGGCCCATGTGTCGTCTCGCATATGCTGTACACGAATGCTGCCAGGAGGAAAATCGAGGCTCTGGGCCTTTGACGCTTTTCGGACCCATTTCCCGTGCACGGAGAAAGCGGGAAGAGGGGGGGAAGGACCGAGGAGAGGAGCGAAGGAAGGGGAGAGGAAGAGAGAAAGAGAGAGGGAGGGGGAGGGGGAGAGAGAGAGAGAGAGAGCAGAACAGAGGGGGAGGCACAACGCCCACACAAACCCTCAACGGCGACCGGCACCGGGGGATTCATTTGCGTGTATCTCTCTGTGGCCGGGAAGAAGAAGCCAGCATGATGACATTCACATATGCTGCGCGCGCCGGGTTTTTCCTGATACAGGGGCACCCATGAAAAGCCGGGGGGGGGGGATGCACGCACTATGTGCAACCCCGACAAATAGAGGGAACACGCCTGGGGGAGGAGACAGGAGAGGGACATCCCGCCGCGCCAGTTCGTGCGCGATGGGGGTCCATCAGGAGAGGGGAGGGGGAGAGGCACATGCAGACACGCGCGCAAACGGCTAGGGCCATTTCTCTCGCGGTGCCACGCACTGCCCCCACCCGCCCGAAGTCAAAGCCGCGCGACTGCGTGTGTGAGGCACCATCGCCACGTTCTTTTTCTCCCCATCTCGCTTGTACAGCCGCCTCTTCTGCCCCCACTGGGGGCGCAGGCACAGGGCGGGCACATGAACACACGCGTGTGTGCTTGGCGCCTCCCTCCGGCGCATCATGCATCTCTCTCTCTCTGTCGATCCTGCTTTGTCGCAGGGGGGGCTTCTTTTCGCTCCTTCCCTCAATCTCGCGCGCAGGCACACCTGCCCGCCGCCGCACTGGCCGCTTACCAGGCGGGCAGAGGAGCGCCAGGGGCCGGGATCAGGCCGAAGGCCTTGCCGCTGTAGCGGCGGATGGCGTACGGCCGGCCAACGCGCTTGGCCACCTGCTTCAGGAGGTCGAGCTCGGCGTCGCGGTTGACATCGTCGATGATGATCGGGACATTGATGTCAAAGGAGTCCAGGTTCAGGAGGAAGCCATGGCGGCCAATGTGCCCGGGGGGGCCGTCAACCAGGATGACATCGTAGGTGGCGGGGAGTTTCTTGGAGATGACGCTCATGTCGTACCAGCCGAGGTCGGACTCGGGCATGGTGATGTCGGCCGAGGGCTTCTTGTGCTGGGAGAAGTTGACAATCGGGGCGTGGATGTAGTGGCTGGCGGCGATGTAGTTGACCCACTTGGCATCATGCTCGACCGAATAGACGGTGTAGTCCTGGCACAGGCGGGCGGTACCGGGGCCGGAGCCGAACTCCAGGATGGCGGGCTTGCGGCCGGTGGACTTGCGCACCGGGGTCAGCAGGTCGTCGATGGCGGCGAACATGACGTCGTCCACGGAGAACTCCTTCAGCGACCACTGGAGGATGGCATACAGGCCAAGCTGCACCGAGGCCGTGAGGGCATACACCATGGGCCCGAGAGGGGGATAGCCGAAGTGGGTCTCCAGCACGGCGGACAGCCCGCGAGTGGCGGCCATGGTCAGACCGAAAAGCAGGACACACGAGGCGACCGGCTTCTGGGTGGACATGGCGGAGAACTATTTCACACAACGGGGAGGCGGGG